AAGGGTGGGGAATTGGGGAAGTCACATATTGAGTGCACAGTGAGTGCTCAACCACTATTGTTATGGAGCTATAGAAGCATTTAACAGTAGCTATAATTAATTCCCACCTTTAGCCACATCAGGACCTACCAATCTCTATCTTAAATAGTGATTTTGATGATATTTTCTCAAAGAAAAAAACTCAATTTTCTAAATTTTCCAAAGTATAAGTAAATCCTCTATAGCAGCAGCTTATTCCTTTGTGCAAAACCTTCTCTAAGATCCATAATTTTCCTGATTATCAGTATTAATTTATTGCTCTACGGTTATATGGTAAAATAAGGGCTCCCCTTGCACTACTTGCATACATGATACCTACACACATTCATGCACACATATGTGTGTGTGCATGTCGTTGAAGGCTATATAGCTGTTGAGAGACTGGGTTGGTGTGATTATGAGAGATCTGTAGTAGGTGCAGGAGAATCACGCAGATGGTTGGAATTGAGAACCAGGTTCCAGATTTGGATTTTCCGCTATGTGTAGTATGAGGTAATTTGTTTATTTCCTGAAACACTAGTTTTCTTTATCTTTGGAGATTAAAATGATAGTGATGCTTACCTTATAATGAGTCCTGAGATAAAATGATTAAAAATTATATATAACTATATAGTTATATATATAACTATAACTATATAACTATTATATATAACTATAACCACATGTTTTTATAGTTGCTAATTATTCTAGATTTTTTTCTTTGTCTTCCTTTGCCTTGGACAATACTTTCACAAACTTGTACTCTTCTGTGATAAGTGGTCCCTTGCAAGAGGTAAAGAGTGTAGGCTAAGATTTCCCTTTCTTCACATAGATGCCTTTAGATCATAGTGTTTCTTCTCTTCATCCACACATGCATCTATGCATGCATCCATCCATGCATGTGTGTATCTGGTCACCCATTCCTCTTATATTTCATGAGCACTAGCCATTTTCGATGTCCATGATACATAAAAATACTATTAACATGGATATCATGGTTTTTCAGAGACCAGAACATATGAATGTGTAAGAACACAATTCAGCTTTTTAAGTCTCTTGTGTCTTCTTAAAACCCAGACAACAACCTCTATCATCTTCATAGCCCTCCTATATACAAATGATAAACAGGTTGATAAAGAAATTGGAGAATCAGCACCGTTTAAATAGCCTCAAATAATAGAAAATATCTTGGTGTAACTCTAGCTAAGTAAGTGAAAGACCTGTATGACAAGAACTTCAAATCTTTGAAGAAAGAAATTGGGGAAGAGATCAAAAAAAAAAAAAAGATCTTCCATGCTCGTGGGTTGATAGGATCAACATAGTAAAATTGGCTATCTTATCAACGGCATTCTATAGATTCATTGCAATCCCCATTAAAATACACAATTCTTTACAGACCTTGAAAGAATAATACTCAACTTCATATGGAAAAACAAAAAATCCAGAATAGCTCAAATAATCCTGTATAATAGAAGAACTTCAGGAGGTATCACCATCCCTGATTTCAAGTTATTACTATAGAGCTATAGTAATAAAAACCATATGGTATTGGCAGAAAAACAAATAAGTAGATCAGTGGAATTGAATCAAAGACCCCGATGTAAATCCACACACCTATGGATTTCTGATTTTAGACAAAATGCCAAAATTATACAATAGGAAAAAGAAAACATCTTCAATAAATTGTACAGGTCTAACTGGACGTCAGCATGAAGAAGAATGCAAATTGATCTATATTTACCACCCTGCACAAAACTCAAGTCCAAGTGGATCAAAGACCTCAACAAAAATCCAGTTACACTGAACCTGGTAGAAGAGAAAGTGGGAAATAACATCAAATATATTGATATTATTCTCTGAAGAAAACACCAATAGCATAGGCACTGAGAAAGAGAATTAATAAATGGGACCTCATGAAATTGAAAAGTTTCTGTAAGGCAAAGGACATTGTCAGTAGGTCAAAATGGCAGCCTACAGAATGGGAAGAGATCTTCACCAACCCCACATTTGACAGAGAGCTTATTTCCAAAATATATAAAGAACCCACGAACTAGATATGAACAAGCCAAATAATCCAATTAAAAGTGTGGTACAGATCTAAACAGAATTTTCAACAAAAGAATCTCAAATGGTAGAGAAACACTTAAGGAGATCTTCAATATCCTTAGCCATCAGGGATATAGAAATCAAAATGACTCTGAGATTCCATCTTACACCTCCCAGAATGGCTAAGATCAAAACCACAATTGACAGCTCATGCTGGAGAGGATTTGGAGCAAGGGGAATCCTCCTCCATTGTCAGTAGGAGTGTAACTTGTATAGTCACTTTGGAAGTCAGTGTGGCAGTTCTTCAGAAATCTGGAAATCACCTTACCACAAAACCCGGCTATATCACTCTTGGGTATATATCCAAAGGATGCTCAATCATACCACAAGAACACTTGCTCAACTATGTTCATAGCAGCATTATTCATAATAGCCAGAGCCTGGAAACAACCTAGCTGTCTCTCAACTGAAGAATGGTTAAAGACAATGTGGTATATTTCGACAATGAGTATTAAAAAGGAATGACACCATGAAATTTGTAGGCAAATGAATGGAACTATAAAAAGAATCATCCTAGGGAGGTAACCCAGACTAAGAAAGACGAACACAGTATGTACTCACTTATAAGTGGATATTAGATGTAAAATAAAGGATAGCTATGCAACAGTCCACAGACTCAGAGAGGTTACATAACAAGGAAGGTTCACTGGGGACACCCAGATCTCCCTGGGAAGAAAAAATAAAAATTTCATGACTGGATTGAGGTCAGATAGGGATAGGAACATTAGTAATCAGATGGGGGAAGACATGGAGGGGTGAAGTGCTTAGGGGATTGCTGGGGGTGTATTTCAGTTTGGGTGGATGCTGACATAGGGGGATCTCCTAAGAGTGTATAGGGAGGACCCCAGCTTAGACTCCTTGCAATAGTATATTAGTAGCCTGAACTGGCTGTCACCTGTAACCAGATTGATGCCTGGCCCAATTTTCATCAGAGGGGTGTTACCCAGCAGCTGATGGAGGCAGATGCAGATCCACAGTTAAACATTAGGCCAAGCTTGGGGAATCCTGCTGTAGAGAGAGAGAGAGGAGGGATTGTAGGAGCCAGAGGGGTCGAGGACATCCCAAGAAAACCCACAGAAATCAACTAACCTTGGCTCATAGGAGCTCACAGAGACTGACCCGACAACCAGGGAGACTGCATAGGACTGACCTAGACCCTCTGCACATGTTACAATTGTGTAGCTTGGCTCTCTTGTGGTATTCCTAATAGACGGAACAGGGGCTGTCTCTGACTCTTTTACTAGCTTTTGGGATATTACTCCCCATACTGGGCTGCCTTGTCCAGCCTTAATACGTGGCGAGTTGCTTTGTCTTACTATAACTTGATATGCTATGTTTTGTTTACACTCATGGGAGTCCTGACCATTCCTGGATGCAGACAGAAGAGGAAAGGTTTGGGGAGTGGAAGGGACGATAAGGGATGGGGGAAGACCAGGATGAGAGGATAGCAGAGGCCGTGGTTAGGATTTAAAATAAACAAAACAACAAAAAAACAAAGACAAGGAAGAAGTGTGAAAATTAAAAAAAATGTTAAGAATTAGTTCAGGTGACATACATATTTGGAAATTTCCCAAACCAAATAATCATCAAAAAGTAGACATTTCTACCTTAAGCTTTCCATGCTTGTTAAAATACTTTGCTTGCTGAAGTGTTCAACTGAACTAAATCTCATCTAACATCTGGCCATTGCACAAACACAGCAGCAATGAAAACATGTCTCATTGCCTCCGCATTGGGTATACATTTTAGAAATCCAATTAGTGTTGCATACTCTGTGTGAATTTTTCTTTTCTTGTGTTTGAACTAATTTTGAGCTCCTACTTGGAATTATAAGAATTCAAATATTTAGTGCACACATCTCAGCAGCACAAAGCAACCATGATAAAGAACAAAGCTTTGTGGCATTTTCTCATGTTTCTAAGACACTCTTTAATTGCTTTGTCTTTGCAGTGAGCCCCCATCCAGTGGGTGTCAAGCCTCTTGCAGCACAGGGATGAGAGTGGGGAAAGAGAAACATACAGGATAAATAAGACACATTAATAGCCACTAAGGAGTTTAGAATCTAGTGGAGGAGACAGGCACCTAAACAAACCGTTTCACCATAATATGACAGATGCTTTGAGGGATACATATTCATCTCTCTACTAAGGATCATGATTCCCCCAACCTTGCAAGGAAGGTCTATAACTGCTAAAAATTGGGAAGTCCTTTAAACCAAGAATGGGGGTGGGGCAAATAAGAACTTACTGAGCCTATGTTATCCATCTGGGTGGACAGGAGCAGCCAAACACTCTGAAGGTAGACCATCTATGCAGCAGTGCCAGTCAGGTGTTGGAGTTTAGACTCACTCTGATGATAGCTGTTAACCCTATTGTCTATTTTGTAGATGTGGACATTATGAAAGAAGCCTAAGAAAACCCAATCTTCACTGTTTGCAGTCAGGGACAACTGAAGTATAAATTATACAGGCTTTCAGAAAATACAAATGAACTTATGGCATCTGCCACCATTTGGTGTAGATTATAATCAGATATCAACGGCCCCATGCATTTTAATGGAAGTACAAATACTGCAACTGAATTTTAAAACATTATCAAATATACAGTTTACTTTAAAAAACATTACGGATTTATTTGTGCAAGTCTAGTAATATTAGATATGCCACTAGCTCCTATGGTGCAATGGTTAACACTCTGGACTCTGAATCCAGAGGATCTGAGTTCATATCTTGGTGGAACCTGTTCCTTGAAGAAGAGAACTGGTCAGTCATCCTTCTCAACTCAGACCATGAAACCCAGTATAAACGGGCTGCCCGTGCATGCTTCAGCAGTGGCGGGGCATGTTTCACTTCACCTTCAGTAACATGACATGCAACATAAGACATGGAGCCCAGTCACGCTGCTAGACTTTTAATAGACTTTTTCAAATATTAGACATTACAGTTTAAATCTCTCTAGCATTAACTTTAATGTTGGAATAACATTTCAGTTAATAAATTATTATGAATATAACCATACATTTATTTTATCTTCTTTAGTTCATCATGAGTTACAAGTTTATTGTGATTTGGGTCATAAAATGACAAATAATTGTTTATATGTTTCCATAAATTGTGTGTTTGCCTAATCAACCCTGAAAAGGCTCTAGGAATACATTACAATAGGACATACAACTTAGGTTTATTTTTTAGCTCTTTATTGTTTACTTAAAAGGGTAACTGTGTAACTGCTCTTAAATATAGTGTTCACGGCATTGTTCTAGAACATGTTGGTTGTGTATTTTCAAAGGTATGGAAAATTATTTGCAAAAAGTGAGTATTCACAGTTTTTGATTTTTGAGGTTAAAGTCTAACATTTATTTCTGAGAATTACAATTTTCAAAGGTTTGTGTTATTAGGGTTTTCTGAAAAGCAATGAAGTTTAGACATGAGCTCAGAAAATTTGAGGTAAAGAAAGTGAGTTTTGTTATTAATATAGCAACCACCCTTTCCTAATAATTTCCACTCTTTGAGTTTACTGGGGGAAGATGTTACTACTTTCAGGTTGCAAATGTTCCAAATTTACATATCTTGTAGTCTCATCATAAGAACTATTTGTAGTTTTTTTTACTAAGTTGTCTATTCAGTTGCCAAAGAGACAGTGTCTCTGTCACATTTGTGACATCTGGGGAAGGTGTCGGCGAGTTGCAGCAAAGGGCCATGCAAGGATTAGTGCCAGCATTTTGATCTGTTATGCAGTTTTGGAATTTTGCTCCCACAATGAGGTTAGATCAGTACACACATTGCCTGGATTCATCTAGAAGAGTTGTGCTTTTTGGAATTGACCTCTAGTAAATCAGTTTATTTATATCATGCACGTTTTCCAGAGATTTCTAATCTCCTTATGAAATCTTTAACTAAGAGAAGCTCTGGCCAGCGGTGTCCATGAGCTGTGGTAGGACACCCCTCCAATGTTTGAAGAAAAGGATTTATGAATGGCGTCACATGACAGAAATAATTAAAATTACCAGTGGTTTAGGTTCCAGAAAAGACTTCTTAGCAGTGTAAAAAGTTAGGAGTTTTGGAAGAAAATGAAAACACACATTGAAAATCTGAGCCCTACATTTTTTAAAAATCCCCCAAATCTTAAAGGAAACGATTCCCTTCTTTACTGTTTTGACAGACTATGCACATTTTCATTGTATGGACCACCTTGAAATTTGGGGCGTGTCTGTTCTCTTCCCGAGGGAACACAGCTGGCATTGTTCCGTGGCTCGTATGAATCTTTTATGTCTTTCCGGTTTCTCGGTTCTGATCTCTGCGCTGTTTCAGTCACGGGTTGTCTCTTGGGAACAGCACTGTGCTGTTCAGCAGTACGCACTTCATTAATAAGAAGGGATTAAAGGAAAAAGCCCTGATCTCCTAATACACTGGATAATTTGGTGCCACCCACAAGGCAATAGACCCCTGCTGCAAAGATGTCATTAGAAAGGTACAATTTCATTACTTTTTTACTGGCAGAGCCTTGAGTGAAATACAAGACATATTGTCTTCTATGCAAAGATGAAGAGTGCTGGAGCCCTTCCCCTCTGTTCTTAAACACTAGATTGTAAGAACACGCTCTTTGTTTTCACGTCCATGTTGCTTTCCCTTGATGCTACGAGAAATTATACTTTTATTAAATATTGAGCAAAATTAAAAATTAGAAAAGATTATTGATAATCTTAAATGAGAGTCATATATTCTTATCGAATAACATGCTTGATTTGATTACCTACTGTGTGCCTGGCACTATGCCAGTTGCTAAAAATCAAAGCACAAAGCTAGAATTCACTGCTTTTCAGTCCCTACCATGTTGAACGCGGTCACTGGACATGAGTGTTAAAGGCGTCTGCACGAAGTAAGCTGCACGGCACACAGAAACAGCCACAGGCCAGGGTTTTGAAAGGGGGACCAGACATCTGCTCAGCTATCCTGCCAACGAAGTTGACATGTTTGTTGATGGTTGATACCACCTCCTGAACTGAAGTACCCTGACCTTTAAGCCTATGTAGCATATCGTGAAGATACTTGAAATAATGCGCATGACCCACCTTTGGGAGGTTTATGCCCTGGTTCTGTGAGTGCCACTCAGTTATGGAGGAACTTCTGTTTCTGGTGTAGTATATTTGACGCCCCACAAAGGGAGCTTGTGCTTCCAGCATCTACCGTAGAGGATGCCGGTGGCACTGAGAGGCATCCGCTAGGGTCGTGGCTGTCTGGGAAGTTGCACATCAGTTTCCTAGCACCGAAGAGAATCAGCTTTAATAGTGGTCCTTTATCTCGCTGCCACAGACACAAAACTGCCATTAACAATGAGAAGTCACACAGTTGGAATTGTGCTTGGGAGAAGAAAGCCCTCGATTATCAGCCATTTGCTAGCTGGCTAGTCCTCACAGAAATGGATCTTCTCTCTCCCACTACTAACTTTTGTTAAGAGAAACTGACATTTGCAGTGCATTGTCCAAGGTAAGTGCTAGACTAGATAGTTATAATGGAAGAAACTGGGGTTTCCATAGTGTTCTATTGGCAGAAGGCAAAACAGTATGGGAAGACCAAACAATTTTAACAGATAAACCAGGCAGTGGGGTAAATACTTTAAAAACACTTAGTTCTATGTGCGCTAGGAAAAATGGGTCACATGTTACACTTGAAACAGACTGTCTCCTCACCTTTTAATTAGACAACCGTGTTGTGCCTTCTCTGCCACATATTTTGGCTCATGCTAAGTATTAATACACTCACAGTGAAGCTCATCAGCAGATGTCGAGGGAAGAGAGGCGGCGTTAGAAGTTGGGATGGGCAGGACCAGTTTACACCTTCTAGAATAAGCAGGGCTTAGATACCAACAGAGAGTCAGGACACAGCTAGTAAAGATCTTGTCAAAAATGTCTCAGCTAATGCTTCATTATAGATAACAGCATGACAGACAAATTCCCCAGTTTTTCCAATAAATTTTAAAAAGTAAATGAAGCAGTTAAAAGCTCAGGTGGTTAGCTTGTGTGGCGCACTTCAGAACGAGCACTGAAAACAGATCAGTCATTTGCTAACAGGGATACAGACTCCCCCTTCCTCTGCCATCAGATTCCATGGGTCTGTCTATCCTGAACCTCAGTGGATGTCCCATGTATATATTCCATTAGATGGAGCTAACACATGGACACAAAATAATATTCTTTCCAAATTTCATAATTTTAGCCCTATAGTTTCTTGGGAGTTGAGGAGGAAGAAGGATTATAATGAACTTAGATTGGGATCTGCCGGTCAGATATTTGTCATATAAATACTAATGGCATATCAGCAATGACCCCGGCTACTGTTTTCCTCCGAGGTAGTTATAAATAAGGGATGGATCATGAAAGAACTTACTACATTTCTTCGTTTGAATGAGTAAGGCACTGTAACATACTACATTTTGTCATTGTTAAGTCATGCCAGTGAAGTCAATATTCAGGTGAGGATTGACAATACCAGCTTCCTCATAGAGGCACCCACATGCTCTGTAAGGCAAGACTTGGCCGAATCTTTGTATGCATTTTCTGTTGTTATTAACGAAGGGAACTTTGGGGGATATTTAAACAAATATTTCCTTTTTTTAACATTTCATATTCATTATAGGTTTCTTCTTCCCCCCATTGATAATAGTAAACTATGTGTTGTTCAAACTGAGTAATACGACATGAAACAAGGAACCTCGGGTGGCTCATTTATAACAAATCTGTTTCCTTGATGGGTGGCAGGACATCTGAGGTCAACTCTAGGGAGTCTCTCCTGCTTTCAGTGCTGTCTTCTAGTCATACCGAAGACAATACCTCTCCAGACGGGTCTTTCCCCTTCTTCTCTTCCCCGCGGTCAATGTCAATGACGTGCACCAGCCCGGGTTTCAGAATCAGGTCCTCCGTCTCCACTTGACTCCTGTTGTCCTCCACCTCCATGTAGCTTCCTTTGGCCTGCTGTGCAGCTTTGCTGAAGGCTTCCTTAAGGCGCCGTTTGAGCTCCACGTCAGGGCAGAAGACATACTCGTAAAGGGCACCCGCGAGCACAGCGCCTATTATTGGTCCAACCCAGTATATCTGGAGAAAAATGGGAGAGGAGAGGCAATAAATAGAGGAGGGTGAAAAGTGGTCTCACTGGACAGCTTGTGAGTACACAGTTTAACAGACTTAATCAAGTCAGCAACTGCATCATACACACACACACACACACACACACACGATGGATCTGAAAATAAATGCTAAAATATACCAAGTCTACATCAAAGATCCATAAATTATTAAAGAGCATTTGAACATAAAATAAGAAAGAATAATGTCTTCTATCTTCTTTATTTTAATATTATATTTTAAATGTTCTGATTATTATTAATATTATTAGAGACAAGGTCTAGCTTAGGCTGTTTTTAAGACTCATTGCATAACTCAGGATAGCCTTGAACTCACATTCCTCCACTGTCAGCATCATGAGTGTTTAAAATATTGGTGGGTACCATCACATCAGGCTTATCAACTTTATGATAAACCTTAACATGAAATAACTCTGCTCTGGTGGCCCCACAACTTAAGCAGACTCTACTGGTAATTCCTTCAAATAAAAAGAAAAAAAGAAGTTTTTGCTGCATGTTTCTCTTATGTATTCTGCAGTAGCCTCTTACCTTGATTGTCTGTATAATCATGCATTTTTATCATTTAAAGTGTTTGCTACTCAGTATACATAATGAATACAGCTCACTCCTCGCTACTTAGCAGTGTGAGTGCTTAGATAAGGGATAGTTTCCACTTAGAGGCAAGGTCTCTTATACCCACGTAGCTGAGGCTGATGGCCTTGAACAGCTGAACCCGCAGTGTCTTCCTCTGGAGTGCTGGGATTACAGGCATGTGCTACCAAGCCCAGTGTGTGGTCATGCTGGGTAAGCACTTCACCAATTAGATTATACCACCAGTGACTTCTGTGTTTTACTTTCTATATCTGCAAAGCAGGGCTATAATATATATATATATATATATATATATATATATATATATATTTCCCACGGCTGTGACGACTAAATGGAATGCCACTTAGCAGTTTTGTGCTCATGAAAATTGTTAGGTTTCTACTTCTTAGACAATTTAAAACTGCGTGCAACCAACTTGGCTGTTAATTAGTTTCTCTTTAAAGTTTGATGCCTTTGCATCTTTCTCACTGGAGAGTGTTTCCCCTCCGCGTAGTGCTGCGGTGTAGATATGTTCATGTGGTGACTAGACTAGGGTTAGTCAGTGGTTCTATGGAGGTCAGTAAACAGCATGTTTGATCACTCAGTAATGCACCTAGAATGAGCCAGCTCTCATCTGGTTAGGCTGGGACGTGTGCTGTAGAGTACATGCACTCTGGAGAGTGTTAGGCGTTCATCCAATAGAGTCATTTGGGACCACGCCCCAGTTTACTGAGCACTCTAACGGACTGTATAGAGCACTTTTCTCTTCTCATTAATAACCTTTGATACAGATATTATTAAAATATACATTCTTATGCATTGGAAAGTTGACAGTTGGAGATGTTACAAGCTTACTTAAGATAGCATACTTAAGTGATTGAGTTGAGCTGTCTAGTTTACTTGTCTTTAGAACACCCTTTTACCAACTTACTGTTTGTTCTCTTATCTGAAAAGAATTACTATGTCTTGCTTAAAACACCATCTGGAAATTAACTGTACTTGGTATCTTTACTGTACAGCCTAAAGGAGAGCCAGGCTTCCCACCGAAGCTGAGCACATGTCCTTAACAGGGAAGTAGCTGGAGAGTCGCTGGACCAGCCAAGCTCCTTATCTTGAACATGAAAGAGCCCAAAGGAGAGTTTATCTTTCCTGTGCCCTTTCAAAGGAGAAACGAGAGCCCTCCTCTAAATGCCTTTGCTCTCTGTTCCCTTGGTAAGATCTCATTAGATCGGTGCAACTTCACAGGTCTCAAGTCCCACAAGGAGAACAGCCTCAGCAAACAATCACTACCCTTTCCATAACACTCCGGAGGAGACAGCAGGCTCTGTGTCCTCAAAGATAAATCTGGGTGACAAATTGCTATTCCCACACAGAGTTCTGTAACTTTAAAGTACTTTTTGATTTTTATGAATAATTTTATTGATGAAAACAGAAAAACACATAAACTACATAAAAGTGTTTTTAAAAACTTCCTAAATTGACATTATATTACCTAATTAAAACTCACCCATTTATTGTACAATCAATAAACTTATTGTTAAAATTTTCCACTCTGGGGATAGGGAAATTGCCCAATGGGTAAAGTGACTCCATGCAAGTGTGAGGATGTAAATTCCAGTCCTTGAGACCCACATAAAATCCAGACACCATAGTGCATGGCTGTAATTGCTGTGTTCCTACAGGAAGATAGTATACAGCAAGCAGAGGTAAGAGAATCCCCAGGGCGAGCTGGCCTGGTGATCAATGGTGAACTAGAGACCCTGTTGTGAACAAAATAAAAAATGGGAACTGATACCCAAGGTTGTCCTCTGATATCCAGATACCCTGGCATGTGTGTGTCTATACTTACACATATGAGCACACACACACACACACACACACACACACACACACACTCCTCAACATACATCACACACATAAAGTAAATTCTATTTTTGTTAATGTAGTAAGTCCTCTCAGAAATATCAGTGGCAAAACTACCAGTCCAAAGAATGACTTTGGGGATCAAGATTTTGCATGTCTGTGCCCAAATTATGTCTCAACAACTTAGTACACGTTTTGTATAAAGGAGTTTATACAGTCATGGTATGATATTTTCCTTCTTTGCTGGGCCATGTCATCCTTGAGTAGCTGTTCCCAAAGCCACTGTAGCCACATGCATAAGATCAAAGCACAAACAACAGATTGTTACAGTCATAATTTTAAAAATGTGAAATCACATTCACAATATGTGAATGGCAGTAAAAGTTAAGTCTCTTTTCAAGCTTGCATATATATGTTTTATTCTTGTAGTTTGTAGGTTATTTAAGTTAATGAGTGGCATAGACAATTGTCTGTGATTTAAAGGATATAAATTCTCTTGTTGATAGAAACAATTGAAACAGTAATGATTATGTCTCTCACTACCCCCGGCCCAGATTGACAGGAAGGTTCGTCCTGAGATTAAAAAGTGCACCTTCCTGGCACTCATTTGTTTTTCTGGCTACAGCTGTGGTGACAGGGGCATAAACATCTGCATCATTTATTTGGTACCAACCACAGTTCACTAATTTCCAGCCCCTGTGCTATGAATTATGCTCTGCTTATGCAAACTAGGATCTTAAATACCTTTGTCATAGGCGGTACTTTAAAGTAGTTCTTTCTCTCTTTTTAAAACAATAACGTTGCTTTCTGTTGTTGCTAGGAAGCCTTTCTTTCAATGATTTTAACACTAATATTCAGCACACATTTATCATTTAAATTTATTCTACAAAGGAAACCCTATGTACAAGCATTCTGCTGCTATCTGTCAGATACATGTCCAGACTAATGCTTCAAGAAAACCCAACTCTCAGTGAAAACCTAGAACAGAAGGCTATGAGGTCTTTTGTAGCAGGATTCTACTGGACTGTTTTACTCCCTGTGACAGATGCAATAATAACTAGAGAGTTGGGTGGCTGGGGGAGGGGAAGCAACAGAAACTAGTGCACTAATTTAGCCCAAACTAAAAAAAGAGAGAGTCTTGTGGACGATTGTTCCTAACTTCAGTAAGATGGGACTTATCAATTTAGTAGTTACCCAGTGGTTTTCCCAGTTTCCCATGATAACGGCAGGTCCAAAAGATCGGGCTGGGTTCATGCTGGCCCCGGTATAATTGATCTGCGGAGAAAAAGAACAAAACCTCAGACATTTTGGAAATAGAACTGTTAACAGGGGCCATTTGCTGTAACTTGACGCTGTCTCTTCAGAGGAGCACTGACATTTAGCCACTTTGTAGTTGTCATGGTCCCTTCACATCGACAGATATGGCTGGATCTGAATGAGCTCTATATTGTATGGCACAAGCAGTATGGTACATGGGTATGTCCAGCTAGTTGGCAGACTGTTTAACATGTATCTATTAAAATGGTAACACTGAAATAAATAACACTCTTGAAATAATGCAAATGTTGCAGTGGTTTTGTACTGGCCAGGTCACTGGTTACTGGTAAAAGCTGCAGAGGGATGGATGGTCACAGGAAACAGTACAATGTTCCCAGCTGCTTAATACTAAAAACAACCAAAGAGAGATTCAACTGCAAACAGCATCTTCAGGCCTGCTTCAGGGTGAGGCTAAATGAGACGATCAATTATTCAAATGGACTTAAAACTTACTGCAAACAAATGTCCAATTGCGACGGAGAGTCCAATTGCTAAAGCTATTGAACCGGTGACATCAGTCCGTTTGGAATCACAGCTGGCGAAAATAGTGAACACCAACTGGAATGTGATTATCAACTCCACCAGGAGTCCGTGGCCAGCAGTAAGGTTTCCATGAACCTGGAGAGAGAGAGAAAGATACTCCATCAGAACTGAATCAAGAGTCTAGTTCTAAGCAATGCAACGGTTTGAAGGGTGTATTTTTTTTTGGCATGGGAAGTGATGGTTAACTTGAGTCTTCTACCAACCCCAGGTTGAAATTTCCATCCTTTCACCTCCTAGAATGAAGGAATTAATTTACACTCATTTTCGACCATTGTAGATAATTACTTTTACAGTGACTGAGTTTTTACTGAATGTTGTATTTAGCAACAAAGCAAAATGTGTTACTGTTGCACTTAGAGTGTAAAGGATTTTCTTCAGAGATTTATAATATCACGAGGCAATTATTAGACCCATAGATTAGGTTTAGATTAGCTCCTGGGTATCTCAACTAAAACACGAGTTTAAAGTCAGACTGGTGCCGAGCTACCCAGTAATCCTGCCCACTCACGAAGAGCAAGGTGAAGATCAATGACTGTGGGTTCCCCCACCTTTAGTTTTGAGACAGGGGTTTCTCTGTGTATCCCCAGCTGTCAGAACTTACTTTGTAGATCAGAATGGATTTAAACTCGGAGATCTGACTGCTTCTGCCTACTGAGTGCTGAGATTAAAGGCCTATCACTTTACACAGATCATCTAAAGTCCCCGACATTAAAAGCAACAAATTCTTGCCCCTGCTAAGAAACAAATAATTGTAAGGCCTTATGATAAAAATACAGTCAAGCCAGTCACGCTGATTTACACCTGTAATCCCAGCACATAGAGGGCCCAGACGGGAGGATTGCTGCAAATTCAAGGCCAGCCTGAGCTAGAGAATGAATGTGAGAGCCTGCCTCAAGAAAAAAAAAAAAAACCAAAAACCAAAAACATACTCATGTCGTTACGTCTTTACTGTGGTGGGAGAGAAACAAAGCATGCTGAGATCTTTTAATCATGTTTAAGTCACTAAACAGTAAACAATGATGTCCTCTCAATGCCTTTCCTCTGTCTAGACTGGGTTTCACTGTTTGATCCAGGGTGGTCTTGACTCCTGATCCTCCTGCCTTAACCTTCCAAGGGCTGGGATTATAGGCAACCCTCATGCCTGGCTCTTCTGCGTGTATTTTAAAAACTACTATAATAAGTTTCCACTTTTTTTTTTAATGACGATTTTCTATATAGTCCAGACTGGCTTTATACTCGATACATAGATGAGGACAACCTCAAACCTCTGGTTCTGCCTTTACTTCCCATGTGTTGGTATTGTAGATGTACGCCACTGTACCCCAGGACCTACATGCCAGGCAAGCTGTCCACCAACTGAGCTACATCCCTCGCTCCTTGAACAGGCTGTGTTTTGTTTGTCTCTCACGGCCCTGAGCCAGCTTGGAGCATAGTTTGTAAGCATCCTGGTATCCTAACATGAGACACACATGAGAGTTCTTACCGTGGTAACTCCCAAGCCTCCCACAACGTTGGGAGGTGTGACCAGGTAGAGGATTCCGGCTCCAATGATGGCCCCCAGGCACTGTGCAGCAATGTAGAAGACCGACTTGGCAATACTGATCTTCCTTGTGCATACCATGGCCACTGTCACAGCGGGATTGATGTGGCCACCACTGATGTGGCCAAAGCACTGCACCATGGTAGCAATGCTAAGTCCAAAGCAAAGGGAGATGAGGACCATGTCCACAGGTAAGGGGTTCTCTGACCCACCCCAGTTGATGGTGGATCCCAGGCTGAGCAAGACGAAGATAAGCATGGCGAGAAATTCTGCTGCGACCGCCTTCCAGAAAGCTTGAGTCCAGACCCCTTTGAAAGCCACCATGATCCTCTCTCTACTGCAAGAATGTCCACACTTACTGGAAAGAGGAACACAATAAGAATCAGAAGCCACCAACCTAACTTAGCTTTCCAGCCAGAAGGGGCATTGGTCAGGCCTTCAGTCTTGCAGGCTGGGGATGGGTTGTTGAACATCCTTTGCAAACCAAGACAGAATGCTTCTGGAAGTCTCCCTAGTTAGTAGCCAAGAAGTTGCTCTTCTGATCTCCTTCTAGTTCCTGTTCACTGGGCTGCAACCCCAGCTGACCCTAGAAAGGTCACTGTCTCAACCAAGTTCCTTAAGAGTTTAAGAATAAAATACATTTTACTGGGAGTTAGTTCCCTTAGGCAAGCTTTAAAGCATATACTTTCCCTGTGTCTTTTGTTTTGAACAGAAAGCACTTGAAGTGGAGGGAGTTTGCTAGAGAGATGACTCAGCATTTAAGAATACTAGCTGTTCTTCCAGAGGACCTCTGTTGGTTCCCAGCACCCACACAGTGGCACTCTACCACGGGTGATTCCACTTCCGGAGGCCCCAGAGCCCTTTCCAATCATCTATGGGCACTGCACCCAGGTGGTGCACAGTCACACCTGCAGGCAACCACTCATCACACACATAAATAACTCAATTGAAGAAGGGGGTAGAGCGTTCAGTCTTAGACTGATTTCCCAGCGCCTGTTATGCATCTCTGCAGCATCTGCTGCCCACTGCAAGAGAATGCTCCTATGACCAAGGATGAGGGCATCCAGAGATTAGGGGTGTGGGAATATGGGGAGAGTTCGATAAGATGACGACGTGGGTGGATGTGATCCTATTTTATTATGTATACATTTCTGAAGAATAAAGAAAATACCGAAGAAGGAAAAACATACCGTACAAAGGCAGATCGTTTCCAGTTTGGCATCTTGTAGCTTCACAAAGGCATTTTGAAAATGGATTTATAGAGCCCTATACCCACTCCTTCCCTCAAGAGCGTGTGGATTTGGAGCTGGGACTGTGCAACTGTCTTTTGGGAAGGTAAAGTCGTGGAGGGCTTCCTATACTGGTGTGGGCCCTGGGGACAGGCAGGGACTCAGCTGGTACAGGGGCACTCCCTGCTGTTGCCCTGGGCAAGAAGGTGAAAAACTGCAGGTGGCAGTGGCTTGGGAGCCAGTGGGGCCCCAGCCCTTGGGCAGATCTGGGCTTGTAGCACTGGGACGTGACAATCTCAGTCCCCAGTGGGGAGCCTGAGAGACTCTGGAAGGGCAGGCTGTGGGCACTCCAGGCTGGTGCCAGGCTCCCAGTTGGACCGACAGAAGTAGCTGTCAGAGGGGTCAGGTACCAGAGAGGGGAGCCTCAAAAGGGTTTGAGAAGCAGAATAGTGCCTCCTATGGCTCGATTGTCCCTCAACTGTTACTGGGACAGCTGTCCTAAACACCTCCAAATCCGGGAGCCTGGAGTATGTAAGCCAGCCCCCATGCAGTCTACCCGCCCTGAGGGTACAGAGCTTGCTTGCGAATTTAGCAAGAAAGAGGGGGCGTGTCAAGAAACAGTGCGGAGGCTCTGTGAGGGGGGCTAAGGTGCTTTTTGTTGAGGACTTCTCTCCCACGGGCTAGAGAAGCATTATCGGCATCCTCTTGAGGAGCTTGTGGAGGTGCGGAGGGGAGCAGGAGGTGAGGAAGCAGCTGGGAATGAGGCCAGGAAATGAGAGACGCCAAAGCAGCCTTTGGGAAGGGAGTCACTTGCTCTTGCCATGCCCCTTCCTTACCGTCTTTAGATCTTCCGAGTTGAAAAGGGTGGGGTTGGAGGACACCCACGCAACTGCTTATTTTGACCAGAAATTGGAAGGGCAGTCACCCCAGTCACCTCCTTACCAAGGCCATTCATTTTTGTCTCTCATAAGACAGATCGGCAGCGTTTAGCATAGTAGACTATGTAGAGGGCTGGCTGGAAAACCAAGGGCTCAAGAATCGCATAACCTCCCACACATATTGTGAGGTTCTTATCTTTTGAACATCACTTATTGGTCTAGGGAGCCTAGGTTCTGTATTGGTAGTAAGAAAGCCCCGGATGGCACAGACTGCGGAAGGCTTTCTTCACCTTTAAGACTTCTCCTTTGCTATTTGTTTGACTATGGGGCTTTCCTTCTGACTTGAAAAGGGAACACAAGGTGTGTTCACGCTCACCCACCCAAGGGGGCAGCCAGCTCTACCCCAGATTGTCCCCTGCCCAAGTGAGGTCCTCTAAGTAAATCATGCAATTATAAAGACCACAGCTGGGACAATGCATGATGTGTGTCTTAGGGGAGATAACAGAGAGGTAAAAACAACAGCTGGAATGGGGCAGAGAGGGTGCCCTGGGGGAGGCGTGGGAAAGGTCCCCAAGAGGAAAAGCTCTGAGAACTCACATTGAAACGGGAGTGAGGAGAGTCACTTCCGAACTCACCAGCAGCCCAGGTTGCAGCCAGGTGGCAGAGAGGCTATTACAGGCGCTGTCCTCTCCAGCCCTACCACACAGAGGAAAGAGACCAAGCAGGAAGTAAAGGGAGCTGGGTGGGCAGGGAGCAGGGCACCCAGGGGAGGCGGTCCTGGAAATGGCCAGCCTCTCCCTTTAACACCCCTTTGTCACCTCTCCCTGCTCATTTGCACACCTGTCCCCCTCTCCAGAGACCTAAGCTCTTTAAACTTCAAATTTTCATCAGAGAAATTGAAGAAGAACAAAACAGCCAAGCCTGTGAACAGTAACTAGAAACCTTAAAATGGTTTTAGCTCCTTCTTTTTCTTAAAACCCACAAAAAATTTGATCCCCCAAAGCAGCCTCATCTAGCTGTGAACCTCAAAACTTCTAGCATCTATGTATCTCTCTGCCTTTGTGGGAATCTCCCCAGCATTGCCCATGGCTGCACCATCACCATCAACGTGGCCTGATGTGTTTACATTCACAGGAAATGGACCAACATTATTTGTTCTTGCTGTTTTGATTTTTTTCCCCCCAGAACAAAGGGGGATTTGTTGATATGATCCGGGTGCAGTGAACCAGACACGTTCCACCCTAGCTGAATACACTGTCTCATCCACTTCTGAACAGTTCCCGGGTGAGTAATTTTTCTAATGAAAATTATTACAGAGTAATTTCCCATGCTAAAAAGCATCCCCTTTCTTCTCCTTTCCCTCTGCTTCTCTTGTGCCTAAACTTAGTCCCCAGGCTTCAAAGAACCCCCAACCTGTCCCGTTGTCGCTGCCTAGACTCTGTCTGAGAAGACACGGATATCTGCAATGAAAGAGTTTCATCTTGTAGCACGCAGCATTGTTTCCTTAAAGCAAAGCAGAACTTACCCCCACCGCCTCGCTGCAGCTCTGTCACTCATGCCGTCCCTGGCCAGAGTGCAGCTCTCATTGCCTGCCCCTGGGCTCCAGTGAACTGGGAGTCAGATTACGGGCACTTGTCTGATTGGGTTTTTGGAGTGTAGGGGTGGAAAGATTCTGCACCATGTGGCAATCGCTAAGTTATATTTGAACTAGAAATCGTCTCTGTACCTGATCACTGGAGACACAGGCATTTCAGGGATGCAAAGCACTTGCTGACATATGTCTTTTGCTACTAATCTTTCCAAGTGAAGACTTCCCTGAGTGTTTATTTGAATTAATCTGATCACGAATAATTGGGGAGGATTTGTCTTGTAGCTTTCTTATTGAAACTGAACAACTAATAGAAAACAGGTTTGTATGACCCAGCAATTCGGATGAATTGGGAGTTAGACATTTTCTTTCGAGTGGCAAACAGCCAGTCAATTCTATTTGAAATGTGTACGAAGATAATCATAACAAACAGCTGTAACTCCACTTACAGTGTCCACTTCCTGAGTTCGATAATAATAATGATTATTATACCAATTTCTCTGGATGAAGCAGCAGATTTTAAAAACACAGAGGTTAGAGAGGGACAGAATTATTAGGAACAGTAGAAAAAATTTAGTATTTGGAAACCTGGGAACAGGGCTGACGCTATACTTTGCTGTTCAAATTGATTGCAGGACCCAGTGCTCAGAAATTACTCAGATTGTAAGATTGTCACAGCAGGGCACTGAGCAGAGTGTGGGCCCCCTTTACACGCATAGCTGCATGGTTGGTCATGAAAGTGTCCCCACCTGGCATGCTGCAGAGGGCGTAGGAAACACCTACATGCCGATCAAATCATCTTTATGATTTTTTCCTTAGATAGACCCCAGGTGCGTAGAGAAGGAGTAATCTTAACCCCTAGTTTCTGAGTGTGTCTTGATAATTGATCAATGATGTCTAATCATTATAATGATTATCAGGAATACATTGCTCAATTCAGAAATTAAAACTGTGATAAATACCTGTGGACTTCTCTGATTTCTTCATTTTAGATTGTGTGTGTGTGTGTGTGTGTGTATCTCTATTTTTTTTTTTTAGTATTCAGTATGATAAGAAAGATATTTAGAAGTGAAAGACTCTTGCACTTTTACATTTTTTTGCCTAGGTGTCTGACTTGCTCGCTTGAGACAAGGCAACATGTACAAAGCTCTCAGCCCTCCTTGCGAAAGGGATTAAAGTTTTGAATGGGAATTCCAAAGGAACACTGTAATACTTTTTCCTCAGTAATCCTCAGGTAACAGCGTTTGTATGGACTTCCTTCACGGTGCTGTCGTTCTGTGATTATTGTGAAACCTTTAACGACATTCTTGCTGAAGTCAGAATATTCTGGTGAGAGGGGAGGGAGAGTTTGCAAGAAATCACAAAGTCCCTTGGAAGCATTTCATACAGACTCTTGAGATTTACTGTTTAGATTTCAAAAAAGCTGTGCATTTCCCCCACTAACTAAAACCCTTGACTTTCTGGGCAGATGACTAAGTGTGAGAAAATGGAGCCAGGGTACCTGAACTCAAGTAGTTCTGAAGGGTTTCATGCTCTGTGAAAACATCTTGCACTGAGATCCAAGACTTCACAGGGCCAAGTATTTCTTGGGGCTGTGGGTGCTGGGACGACTGTGGGTTCCCTGGATTCATCTGTATGCCCTGCGTGGCCTTTGCAGTTCCCGTTGCCACCTCACAAACTGCCAGAAAAACTTGGTTGCCAGGGTTTCCCTTTTCTGGCTGGCTAATGTGTTGACGGTCCAGTTCCTAGGGGGCAAGTGTTCTCGTCAAGGGAGGAGCCACCCTATTTGGCACCGCCCGTTATACTCATTGGTACTCTGCATAGTGGCCTAAGACAGAACAGGGAGGGGTTAACTCTTTACCCACCGGAAGTAGTTTTTGTTGGGCATGATTATCCCATTTGTAGTTGAGTTGGCTTTTCTCATCTTCCCACACGTATCAGGTTAGTGCAACAAGAAGCTACTTGGTTGGATATAGACGGACATTTCCTGTGGGCCTGCCTGTGGACATAGGTGCAGAGACAGCGTAGGAAGAAAGCTTCAAGTAAAGGTAGTAAGGCAGGAGGAGGTAGGAAATTTAGTCCAGGTAACAATAGCTTCTAAACTCAGTCATTTGCATCTGGGTTAGATGCAAAGGACAGTAGGAATTAATTTGTTTTCTCACATTGGGTAATAATAGCTTAAGTCTTTTAAAGTGCCCTAACATGAGGCTTCGGCAATGGCTCGGTTGGTAAAGTGTTTGCCATGGAAGCCTGAGGACATGAATTTGATCCTCAGTACCCACATAAAAGGCAGCAGAGTGACACATGCTTACAATTCAAGTACTGTGGAGTTGGGGGTAGGAGGGGCCCTGGGACTTTCTGACTGACCAGTCCACCTGTATCGTTGAGCTCCTGCTTCAATGGAAGACCAGTCTCAAAGAAGGTGGAGGGCAACTGAAAGACACCTATGTTGACATTTGACTTGAAGACACAACCACACGCTCACACATGTGCACACACACACACTCATATATACACACACACTCATACATACTCACACACATACATATACATGCGCACACATACTCATACATACACACACACTCACACATATGCACACACATACCTACACATGCACACACACATACGTACATGTTCTCACATACACACACTCATATATATGTATTCACACACACATTCATACACACCCCCACACACCCATATGAGTGAAGTAACTTTGTAATTAAATCTTAAGCTTTTTAGTCTACAGGCTATGTTCTCTTTGGGGACAGCATATCCACATGGCACACCATGTTAAAATTGGCCTTCCATGTCAGACCACCTTCTGCAGTTTTTGTTGAAGAGCCTTGTGATGTCAGGTTAATAACACACAAGGAAAATTTTACAAAGCAAAAGGAACTCAGCAAAGCCTGGCCAACAGACACACCGTGCTTCTGAGCTGTTAACCTGCTTCCACACTGCTTTCCTTCGGTGCTGATGACTATGCGTGATATCTTTGAGAGCTCTGGGTTCTTCCTCTTCTCTCACCCACAGAAATTTAATATTTCTCTATGTGTTCAGACTAAAGACTAAGACAAAAGTGTGTGCGTGTGTGTGTGCGTACATAGCGATGTCTCAGTACTGGTTAAGAGGTGTCTGCAACCTGGTAAATAAGACTCAATCTCATCTAATAATCTTGTTTCTGTTTTACAAATCTCGGCATTGTGAGTCCCCCACCCCCAGAGTTCTTATGTATCAGTATATTCATTAGAAACAAACAAACAAACAAACACACAAACCAAACAGCAGCAGCTTCTTCTTTTTTTTTTTTAGTTTTTCGAGACAGGGTTTCTCTGTAGCTTTGGAGCCTGTCCTGGCACTAGCTCTTGTAGACCAGGCTGGCCTCGAACTCACAGAGATCCGCCTGCCTCTGCCTCCCGAGTGCTGGGATTAAAGGCGTGCGCCACCACCGCCCGGCCAGCAGCAGCTTCTATAGCCACTAAAGCCACCACAGCGAAAGGACCAGCGAAGCTTCATGCTCTCATCAGGCATTGCCTTATGGTCATAATTCAGGGTAATTTCCAGCATTTCTTCCCTCTCACAGAGCCAGATAAAAACAGTGAGGACTACTGAGAACTCAAGAACAATCGCAGTGGGTTTTTGATCCTACTGCACGTACTGGCTTTGGGGGAGCCTAGGCAGTTTGGATGCTCACCTTACTAGACCTGGATAGAGGTGGGCGGTCCTTGGGCTTCCCACAGGTCAGGGAACCCTGATTGCTCTTCAAGCAGATGAGGGAGGGAGACTTGATCGGGGGAGGGGGAGGGAAATGGGAAGCGGTTGCGGGGAGGAGGCAGAAATCCTTAATAAATAAATAAATTAAAAAAAAAACAGTGATTCAGCAGCAGCAAGGGTTGGATTGCTTAACTCAGCTTGCTGAAGTAGAGGTGAGTAAACTTGGTTCCCAGCGAGTGCAGAGTCTTTTCAACATTAATCTCCTCTTGCCCCCATGCCTTGTGGATGGGCTGGGGTTTTCTAGTTGGTAGGACAAGTGTGTTTTCCTTGATTCGGACCTTAAACCACTGCCTTTGCTGCAGAGCTGTGCTCTGCTGACATTTAAGGCAGGAATTCCCTGGGAAAATAGTCAAGAGATTCTTTTGGTGTGACTGGCGGACCTCCAAAGGGTCTAGGGTTCCCCTGTCCAGGCAAGTGGGGAGAGAGAAAGGGAGGGAGGGAAAGAGAAACAGAAGGACTTTATTGAGTGACCGTGTTTCATCTGCAATTGTACAAAAAAGCAGAAATGTGGTTGGGTGACTGGATGCTTTTCTTGCTCCTTATCTCCTCCGCAGCTAATATGACAGTCCAAAGTGTGGCTAGGGCTTTAGGACCAGTGTAGACACAGCAGGGAAAAATTGGGTTGCTGGGAAGTCAAGAACTTGGGATCTACTGAGCTGGACCAGGTTAAAAAACTAGCTAATCTCTGGGATGAAGCCTATTTGATCATAATGGATAATTTTTCTAATGTGTTCTTGGATTCTGTTTGCCAGTATTTTATTGAGAATTTTTGCGTCGATATTCATGAGTGAGATAGGCCTGTAATTTTCTTTCTTGGTTGGGTCTTTGTGTGGTTTTGGTATCAGGGTAACTGTAGCTTCATAAAAGGAATTTGGCAATGACTCTTCTGTTTCTATATTGTGAAATACATTAAGGAGTATAGGTATTAGGTCTTCTTGGAAGTTCTGGTAGAATTCTGCATTGAAACCATCTGGTCCTGGGCTTTTTTTGGAAGGTAGATTTTTGATAACGGTTTCTAGTTCTTCGCGACTAACAGGTCTATTTAGATCGTTCACCTGGTTTTGGTTTAGCTTTGGTATGTGGCACTTATCTAAAAACATGTCCATTTCTTTTGCATTTTAACGGACAATGAGGACTACTGAGAACTCAAGAACAATGGCACTGGGTTTCTGATCCTACTGCACGTACTGGCTTTGTGGGAGCCTAGGCAGTTTGGATGCTCAACTTACTAGACCTGGATGGAGGTGGGGGGTTCCTTGGACTTC